AATTCAAATGAAAAACGTATACTATATGATACTGGTGCCTCGCATCATTTTGTGCCAAACAAAAACAAATTTGTCAACTTGAAAAAGTACTCTAAAGCGTTCAAATTTGATCAAGCAGTCGGCTCCTCATCACTGACTCACTATGGTACAGCATGCCTAAGTATAGGGAATAAAAGGTACGAACTTCATAACGCAGTATACTCTCCAAGATCAGCATGTACTATTTTGTCAGCTGGGAGGCTCCAGAGACTGGCAAATATAGTCCCTGACCCTGAAAATAAAATGTTAGTTCAAAAGAAAAGAGGAAAGCCAGATATCAAAATAGCTCGCCTCGTTCGTAAGAATGATGTTTATTATGTTCGTCCGCTTAATGAAAATAATTCTCCAAAAGAACAGAATAACGTTGTTGCACCAGGTGTAGCAAGAGTACCTAATACTACCGGCGCACAGAGGTGGCATGAACGTCTAGGGCATGTTGGTCAAAAAATCCTAAAGAAAACAGTAGATTGTTCAGTTGGCCTACAATCAATAAACTTTAGTGATCTTAGCACTTGCGAGACATGTCATCTAAGTAAAGCTCAGCGATTTATCTCTAGAGATCAAAGACTCACACCAAACGAGCCCCTGGATGAAATAGTTGTTGATACAATTGGAAAACTAACAGCCGCTGTATATGGAGAACAATACGCGGTCATCATAACAGATGCAAAGACTCGCATGCGATGGGCATTGACTACACATTCAAAAGACCAGATTGCATCACTTTTAATACAGTGGATAGAAGATCAAAAGCATCAGTATGATAAACGTGTGAAAATAATTTTTAGAGATGGGGGCTCCGAGTTCATGCGTACTAAATCATACTGCGAGCAACACGGAATTAGAACCGATATATCTGCTCCAGATACACCAGAACAAAATGGTGCATCAGAAGCCGCAAATAAAGTCGTCTTGACAATGGCAAGGTCTTTGCTTATTGACGCTCGAATGCCATCTTGTTACTGGCCATGGGCAATTAAACATGCGTGCTTTATTGTAAATCGGCTCTACTGCCTACGCACAAAAATGGTGCCCCTCATTGACTTTCTTCAAGGATTAAATCAACCAGCCCCAGAAAAGATAGACTTCTCGAATTTGCCACGCTTCGGATGTCGTGCCTACAAATATATAGATCCAAAGCCTGGTAAATTTTCTCCTAGAGCAGAGATGGGGTGGTTTGTTGGTTTTCAAGCAAATACCAACAAGAACTTTATTATATTTCACCCGCACTGGACTCCAATACAAGGTTGGAAATGGATAGAAAGCTTTTCTCCACATGTCACATTCAATGAAGATGTCATGTTCGGAGATCGACTTAACCTAGTTGCACAGCAAAGAGCATCTGACTTCTGGAGTAACGGAACTTCATCCTTTTTTGATAGATCAGAGAAGCCATCAGAATCTTCATCTCGCACCTCTCCAGATATCCAAACTGATCAACAGTTCGAGAGTATCAGGATTGCCTTCTGCATAATCTATATATGTGGAGATAACCAGGATCTAGTGTTCTATGATTCTGGTCTGGCCTTTTGGCCGAGTGGTTATGCACCTATCTCATGCATAATGTAGGATGGCGCCCTTTAGCCTGAACACCACCTCTTTGACCCTTGTCTCCGCCCTGCTGTCTACATGCTGCTCTGACAGAGAGGGAGCATTATCGAGAGGAAGTTGGTCAGTCATCAGAGACTGAAGATGATGTACCACAAGTTCCAACTGCTCCAAAAGATCCATCAATAGACTCAGAAATGAAAAATAATACCTCCAATGAAGAGTATGTACCGTCACAGATACATCCCCAAGAACAGAGGGAGCCAACTCTAGAAGATCAGGCAAAGCTTTTTCCACGTCAAGAAAGAGTAATTAATCCGCAGGAGCAGAGCGAGAAATGTCAAGAAGAACAGAGGGAGTATACGCTGGCAGAGAATTTAGAGCCGCATCTGCAACACCAGAAAGAGATCAATCAACAAGCACAGATAGGACAAGACATGACAGAACGGAGTCAATTTCAGGAAGAAATCCAAAATTACAATGATTTCGCAAATGAGAATGAAGAAATAGCAAATGACTTCAATATGACTGGATGGGATCCAATACCCCCCATCGCTGGACAGAAAAGATCTCGTTCTCCAGATTCCAATATTCATCAAGGTCCGAGTAAAAATAAAGTAGTTGCTCAACCTAATCACAAAATAATCAATGAGGAAACTCCCTATGATGTTATAATGACAGGTTGGGATCCAGTAGCTCCAAAAGCCGGACACAAAAGGGCTCACTCTCCTGAAGTTGAAACTATGCAGACGAAAAGAGGTAGAAAGGTTATAAAACACGACTACTACCGTATGCATCATGGAATGTCTGCAATTACATCATCAGATCCTAAAACATGGCAAGAAGCTATGACAGGCCCAGAAGCTAAACAATGGATGAAGGCAGCTCAAGAAGAATTCTCCTCTTTGAAAGAGAAAGGTGCTATAAAAATTATTAACCGCAATAAATTACCCCAGGGACGACATCCAATGAAATGTAAATGGGTTTTCAAGAAAAAATTTCTCGGAGATGGGACTATAGATAAATGGAAGGCCAGATGTACAGCAAAAGGCTTTACGCAAAGGTTTGGAATCGATTACCAAGAGACATTTGCTCCAACTCCAAGATCGGAGACTGGTAGGATCATGCTCGTGTTAGCTCATCAATTTAATTGGCACCGACGGCAAGGAGATGTACCCACAGCTTTCCTTAATCCCGACTTAAATATTGATCTTTATATGGAAATTCCCCAGGGATTTGAAAAGAAAAACCATATCATCTTATTGCGAAAAGGTCTCTACGGACTTAAACAGGCAGCTGCGCTATGGTACGATGATGCCAAGGCTACATTGGCAGCGCAAGGCTTATTTCCAACAACATCGGATGTATGTCTATACACAACCAAGCAAAAAGACTTGTTTGTCTTACTACATGTTGATGACTTCCAGGTCATGGGTCCGAATCTTACCAAAATTGAAAAACTAATGTCAGCTCTATATAAAAAGTACAAGCTGAAAATGGTAAATACTGACCTCTTCCTGGGAATACACATCTCCAAGCCAAGCAAAAATATCCTAGAGCTCTCGCAGGGACAGTATGCCCGCTTAATTCTTGATAGACATGGACTTACAGGCTGCAAGCCGGCCAAAACGCCCCTCGAGAGATTAATGGAGCCAAGTACCTCTGATTGTAGTCCAGGATTCCAAAAAGAATATAATTCAATGGTTGGTGGTCTTCAGTATTTAGCAAACAATACAAAACCTGACATAGCACATGCGGTTAACCATTTAGCTCGTTTCTTGCCAAATCCATCAGAAGAACATTTCGAGGCAGCCAAACGTGTTTTACGATATATTTCAAATTCACCTGACAAGGGCATCAATTTTACCAAAAGGGATGACATGAAGCCAACTTTAGAAGCCTATTCAGATGCAGACTTTGCAGCGGATCCATCTAGCAGCCGGTCAACTTCTGGCTCATTGATTAATCTTGGATCTGGACCTGTATTCTGGAGGTCACATTTACAGCGTGAAGTTGTCTTATCTACAACTGAAGCTGAGTATCTCGCTGCAACAGAAACCTGTCGCCAGTTACAGTGGGTAAAATCATTGCTTGAGGAATTGAATTTACTTGGCATGATTGAAGGATCGAAGCTAACAAATTTATATGTCGATAACCAATCAGCTATTTCTTTGATAGAGAATCATGACAATCACAGACGTTCGAAACACATTGCCCTCCGAAACTTCTTTTGCCGTGATCAGTACCAATCTGGAAAAGTTAATGTGATTTACGTTCAGTCATCAGAACAGTTAGCTGATAGTCTGACCAAACCTAAATCAACAGTACCACTGTATGGCAGCATTAAAAGTAGAAATGAGAATACCAGCCAGTGATCAATGGGACTGTAAGGTTGTTGCCAACAGAGGGAGTGTTGTGATCAGACCCACTTATAGATCACACAACTTGGAATGGCTAGTACTGGGCAAGTGAACCAACAGGACAAGCGACCCTGCGTCAATGATACGTCATCGGCACACAGCAATGACAACACCAGTATCTCAACCATACATGATTATATGATAATATGACGCAGGTATATCTAAGGACATAGTTGTTGAATGGCTGAATGGTTGACAGTTATTGCTATTGATGGTATATTGTATGTATTGTCTTTGTGTATAAATACTCGCTACTAGACCTCTGTATATGATCAACCTTTTCCACTCTTATATTCAATAGTCATCAATATAGCAGATCTACAATATATATCTGTCTTCTTCACGTTAGACTTAAAGTGCTATCCTACACCAACCCAAGTTGACTGTTACACCCATTGTGACAATTCTTAGACTTCTCATAACCTCGTTATTACAATAACTAGACCCTAGATTCCATCTCTACTGTACTGGCGCAGACAGTACATACACAAGGGAGTATTCCCGTAACACACTCCATTAATATCTACATGACTTTGGCGTATGCCGGAACTCTGCTATGATCCTGCCAATGAAAATAGCAACCTCTAACACACATACAATCCCTTAATACATGTCCCTGCCTAGTTTTCTACATTTGAATTCGAGCAAGAGCTTTCATTTCAATCTAGGGCCGAAAAAACTTGGCGGAAGATTTCAAATGCGCGAGTAAGAACTTATTGAGAGATATGTGGCAAGCACTTGTTTTTTAGACATCGGAATTATCCATCACGCCATGTGTATAAGAAAGGCTATTCCATCTTACATTCCATCTTCAGATCACAGATTTCGCCATTGCTTCCAATATTACTCGAAGAAAACTACTTCAGACTCTTACATAGCTCTTATTATTCCTCTCTTGTCAAAACCCGATTTATTTGACAGAGCAAAAATATCGACAAATCTAGTCACTCCACCAAAATATAAGCAATAATCACTATACGCAACAACTGCAACATGAAGATTTTCAGTCTTATTTCATCCGTGGCAATTTTAAGTCATCTGACGCCTGGAATCGAAGCTGCCACTTCAAATTATAGGTGTCGCCACTTGGTCCTTGGTTCGGTTACTATAGATAGTATTATTGCACATACATTTGTAAATCAAAAAGACAAACTTCAATATGATTGGCAGCCCAATCAAAAATTTGCTACAGGAGCTTTCGACCTCGATGTAAAGGATGTAAATGGTACCAAATTTCATTCTTAAAAAATAATATTTTCTTCTAATTTTTATCTCCAGGAATTGTCACAGTTTTGATTGAAGTGGACATGGACGTTCAGAAGAAAGTATTGGATATAAGGGTTCTCGCTCTGGACCAAGTGTTTCCCTGTAAACCAACACAAGAAAGGCCTAATTACAATGAACCACTGCCAGCATAAGCGTAGTGTACCCTATGGCCATGTGTTGAAGTTTACGGTGGAGCTTTAGCAGGGGCTTATCTTGTTCATTAATCTCACTTAGGCATAGACACCTTCCATATCGGTCTTAGCCCCCGTATTTGTACAAATCAGTGAAAAATTCGAAGGGCAATATCTATTCAAACACCTTATTACCAATTCATTCATTGTGATGTTTGAGTCTAAGACTATGTCGGACACGAAGGTCCTCTACCTGCAGGCCAACTATACCTATGCCAGTATTACACCCCCTCCTATATATATTCCATACGGCTTCTCTCAAACATTAGCACCCCCCCACAAGCCTTCATTTGCTCATACACTGAGAGGAGCCTTCCATCCTTCAATGTCTCCCCTCTCTAGCCAACGAAACGATGACCACCTACCGGGTATTGCAGCCGGGAAAATTGCACAAGACCACTCAGTGCAGGGTACTCCTAGAACCAACGTCTGGATTAAATCCGAAGACATGTAAGGGTTTAGTGAATTCAGATGTACTTGAAAGACAATAACTCGATAGGAATTAATAACTAGTTCCTTGGGAAGACCATCTACCACGTACTCTCCCATATGTTATACGCTCTGTGTAAAATAGTCTTAACTCCCTCCATTGGCCACTTGAGAATCATCCTTTCTCCCGGCTCTCTTCCTTGGCCGCTGAGAATCATCCTTTCTCCTGGCACAACTCTTCTCCTGTATCATACTCCCCATCTGGTGCGTACCCCCTTAGCGCCCCTTTCGTATATCCAGGAGCGTTGCCCTGCCACTACCTTACCTCGGAGACGGAGTGGTCCTAGTGACCAGTCCCAATCCGGGCAAAGCCTGTCACAGGACATGGCTATTGACATATATCTTGAAATGCCGAGAATAACTTTTTTCATTTATTTCACACTAGCGTTCCAGCGGATGAATATGTCTCAAATGTAGGTTATAGGTTTCTTGCGTATAATACACGCAGATATATATTTAGCTCTATATTCCTGGCTTATATGTGTGTATGTACATAGATCTACATGTACAGGAATCAAAACTTACGATCCATGGAGATTGATAACTACTGCTCAGAAACCCCTGTTGATAAGATATATGAATACGCAATCTCACTCTTATCATCTTAGTTTACTCGTACCATACATCACAATACAATTGTTTTCACTCAAATCTTCCTTCTACAGATTCATACAAGATTTACTGTATCGATCTCACCGCCGACACTAATTCCGCTCTAACCTCCATCTTCGCTCAAGCTCACAACTCTAGCCATGGCTACCCTTCTGAAGCGTTCAAAGAGGCCGGCCAGCTTGAGGATCCAAGATTGACAGACCTCTAGATTAGTACGAGGCTCTCATAAATTGTAATGCTTATGTAATTTTGTTCATGTTGGAGTCCAAGCGCAAGATAAGGAATGCTGTACTTATATAGACAATACCCTGTATTAATAGAAACCCAAGTTACGTCTAGTCTTAAGCTCTACTATACATATTGGTAGTTTGGAGCCACGAGACACCCGTAACCTACGCCATCTTAAAGCTAAGCTTATCTCACTTTTCATACATACTAATCCATCAGGAACCTCAAGCTGCATGCTCCACATCTGAAAATGCCTCGGTCTGAGGAGCTGAGGATAGAGTAGTGCCCCTGCGTCCCTTGCCGACACGGTCTGCGGATATTCACTCACCTAAGAATGATTACCGGGCTTCAAAGGTTGCTATGGGTTACGAATTGAGTAATTTAGTAGCAGAAGGTGTACCCTATGAGGCCTAAGTTGCTCTGGTTACTATAATGTGTATATAGACTGGACGGAGCCGCAGCCGAATCGCACGTTCTGTCTTCCGTCCTAATTTCCCTCGTCCGCCATCATTAGCTTTAGTCTCAATTACGAATTCATACCTTTGATCCTTGCGAACCTCGTCACATTTTACTCAAGTCTCTCAGTAAACCTCCCAACGCTACCTTTGGCACCCTCGAGTTTGATCTCAGGAAGTTCACACTAAGCCCTTCTAGCCTTCTTCCAACTCCTTCCCCCAAAGATCATGCAGAAATTTCAGAAGATTCATGATACAGTAGGATTTCTACAAAGTAGTTTAGCCCAACTTCTCTTGTGGCGTTCAGTGGTCTGGTGATTGCCGTTGACTCATTGACAATAGAAGTTCTCCAGGTTAACTTGACGTAATCTCGTTCTTGGTGCTCACAAACGTTCCAAAATGGAAAATAGCTCAGAGATATCGCTTCCACCATTCTGACAAGAGGTCTTTTCCATATCCCATTCTGACAAGAGGTCTTTTCCATATCCCATTCTACTCCCGAGTCACCGTTCCCTCCTCAAGATCTGTAACCTCATTTTAGTGACAGTCCCCCATAAACCATGACCCGAGCTTTGTATGTTGTGACTTAATTTACTTCTTGCGGGTATACGTAGGGTCGTAATCTCATAGTGGATGATGGTCGATAATAAATGAGGCAAGCTACTGTTTGTAGTTGTTGTAGCGCTTCTATCGGTCGTCGGGGTGGTGTGTGGTGAGTTTGAGGTAGAGGACTCTCGTGAGAATGACAAGACAGAGATTGACGAGAATTCGCCAACAGTAGGTGTGTTTGTACTTGCCCACATCCTGTTCTTCATATCCATCACTTTAATTTCACAAATCAGAAATTTAGAATAAAGCCAGATTATCTATACAGTGCGCTATCCCCAGTTAACTTCCTCCCAGGCTTTTAACAGGGCACGACCCTCAGTATCTACTAGCCAATATTAAACAAATCAACATTCATTTTTCATAGTAAATTTTAAAGCTTTGCATCTAGTTTTAGTAGTCCTTCATAGTCATAGACTCAGTAGATACTTAAATTTAATTCCATTCCTCCCAAGTTTAAGATTCTTTTTGGTACCTAGATCTAGATGATAGTCCGGGAGTAACATCTATCTGTTACAGGCCGTGGCCTGGCTTATCTGGAACCGGAGTTTATCCGGCTCCGAATAGGCATTATACTTATTTTGGGGAAAGCCTCGACTCTGCTTAGTAAAGTTTCGCGACTGACGTGATGCACAATGTTTATATTAGCCAAAACCCTCTGTGGCTAGGACTTTCTTTAGATAGAAAATAAATTCATTTTTAAGCTACAATTACGAGAAGCTGGCGTACCATTCTCTTACGCTATCTCACGATCCTTACAGCTATTCACACTTCAAATTTTATCAACAGTCTACAATATTTGTCGAAATTTACAACATAATTCAAAGAAGACTACTGCAGTGTGAAGGGACTAGTCACAATGGCTTGTTTGCACACGTGAATCGAAAAATAAAGGTTTATATTGTGCAGAACAAAGGAACTGCATGAGCTACATAATTGGGTATCTGCTAAGTCTTATGTAAGTTAGTACTAGCTTAACTATTCAATGAGTTCACGTGAAAAATCTTTACAAATGGAATTGTCTAAGTCTGATTCTGACTTGTTGTGTAGGAAGATGGTCAGATCACGTGGTGTTAGCGTTGCTCGGAACTTTCACTTATATCTCTGTTGGTCAGGCTAGCATGTAGAAGTAGTCGATCTAATATATACCCATTCAACAGGTTATGATCACCCTTGCGCTTCCATATCTACTGAGATTGACTCATTAAAATCCTCTACAATTAGAGGTAGAACAGCCTGTTCTTACTTGTTACTATCTACAATTTTTTTCGCAAATCCCACAATGGGCAAATACGGCGGAAGTATACTCACAGGCTGTGAAAATTTTACTCTATGGCAGAGTAATCTTAAAGTCGAGCTAGCTGCTACAAGGCTCAAGAAATTCCTCGTAGTAGAGAAATGTGTCTCTCCTAATCTAGAGGACAACTCTTCAGAGACAAGGAAGTGATCGTTCGAAGAACAGCTAGAAGAGTTTGAGTTCCAACATGCGCAGGCATTAAAAATGATACTCCAAAGTGTTGATGCCAGTAACAAAGTTGTCATACAAAATTATCAAACTGCATCAGAAGCATTCAATACCCCAATAAATAGGTATGGAATGAAAGACACAGCTCTCCTGGCACAGTTATTATCTCAGCTCTTTGCCATCCAGTGAATGAAAACGATTACCATCACATTAAAATACGACTTAATAATTAGCCTTACTTCGGAGATCGTAACCCAAGAGCCAGATGCTGCTATATCCGATGTAGTCCAAGCCGTTATTCTAATGCAGAGCCTGCCTCAACAATATGATACAACTATTGAAATATTGACAAAGAGGGACAAATTTCCAAAGCTTTCTGAGGTATTTCAGTATGCAAGAACAACTGAAACCAAATTAGTAGAGCCAGAAGAAAATATAATTGATCTGGAGGTGGCCCATGCTGTGGCAAAGAAAAATGAGCGACGAAAAAAGGAGTGTTGGGTGTGTCATGGTGACCATATCAAACTGCGGTGTCCAAAATGGCTGTTAAGTAATGAAGGTAGAAATTACAAGGAATCAGGTCTCAAATGGCATCAATGGCAGGAGAAACATAAAACAAAAGCGGAGCAGGCAAATGCAATAAGGATAGCCTCAAAGACATCTAAATCTGTTAGATATTCTGATAGTGAATCTGAATCTGAAATTTCCACTTATCTCTGTGCTGGTACTCCACTAGTCACTTCAAAAATAAGTTGGGGCCTTGATACAATGTGCTCTTGTCATCTCACTCCATATAAAGATGTTTTTATTGGAGAGATATTACCAATTAGTGTTCCTATTGAAGTTTCTAATGGAACAACTATATATTCTGTTGGTAAAGGCGATGTTCGCATTCACTGGAAAGAGTCTTCGACTTCGACACGTACTCGCTCAACTATACTTAGAGGTGTTCTCTATGTTCCCGATGCGTCACTTAGTTTGATATCATTAGGGATAGTTGCAGATAAGGGCGTAACATTGACTTGCAATAAATCCGAAATGATGATTCGAGCTGAAGAAGGGAAGCTTCTGTTTCGAGGCACTAGGTCTGATAGAGTGTGGACAAT